AACAAGCTGGACACTCAATCTTCAGAAGTCAACGAGTGAAAAGGCGGCTGCAGCTGCAAAGACCCTCAAGCTATCTGGCTCTTCAAGCATCAGATTTCCGTTTGCTTGAGGGGAAAGTGACAAAAAGTCGCCAGATGTGTCAATGAGACACAAGGTTTGTGACCGGGTTTGTAAATTCCCTACTGTCGTCATAGAGATTGCGTGGAGCCAACATGAAGAAGATCTGCAAGAGAAAGCTGAAGCTTATAGTAAGTGCTTAAAAGTGTTGAGAATGTTCATTCTCCTCTCGCAATAGACTGACCCTCAATATAGTGTAAGGAATTTTGAAGTAGTCGCCGTAATATTATGGCAATCTATCACCTAAGACTATCTTTAATGTTGTACTATCGATACCAACCGGCCACCCTTGAAGTAATAAATGCTGACTCTATGTTATGACAGTCGCCGATCTAAGGGTGATATTCGAACTGTCATTGGAATTGACATGCGCAAGATGTTTCTAGCTGAACAGAGAAACGAGAGAAGACTATATCAGATGTACCTTAATCGCGAAGTGAACGAGAGTATGTCTTTGACATACCAAAATGACCCGGAAAATGTAACAGGAGAAGCCTCATTTCTCGTCTGGCGGGCGAAACAGCGGCGTAATGGCCAGTATCAAGCGGAGTGTGTTCAAAACACGGTGCGAACATTTGCTTCCTCTCCCCCTCATTGCAGCAGCAGCAAATCCCGGAAGTTACAATACTGACATGCATACATAGAAATTTCGTAACGACAAAGGCATCACCATTGATAAATCTGCCATCCAGTTCCAACTACAGGATTTTCTCTGTGCAAACCTCGTGAGCTCGCCGGCAGGCGAATTTCAGGCGCACCCACTCGAGCTCTCGCTGGAAGATCTGAACGAGGAATGTATAGAGGAGACGCTACGATTCTATCGTATCGATAGGAATGAGATGGAGAAAGACAGGGCCGAGGAGGAACTAGAGAAGCGGGAGAGCAAGCGCGCGCAAGAACCGCCAAAGAGGGAGCCCCCTAGGACGCGGGGAGGCGTCGACCGCGTGCCCCGAGGGTTGGGCGTCCTAGGTCGTATTAGAGAGAATGGTAGATTGATTTCAACAAGGATTAAACGGCAAAGAGGATAACTAACGTAGTCTTAAAGGGGGCGGGGGGATGTAAGCGGGTGTATAATGGTCTGTTCAAAGCTATACTACGCATTGGTTATAGTCATCTGACTACATTTAAAGTTCTTTCTCGAGCTATCTAATAATTAGCGGATATAAGATTTATATTTTTCCCCTTATTTTTCTATGATAGCTGATGGGTTAGCTGCTTTTAACGCTTTCCGCTTTTAAGTCTATGAGTCTCGAAATCATGTAGAGTCAGACCTTATTGATGTCTTTTGCTATGTTAAATCTCGGACTTAGCTCTCTTTCAAACCTTTGTGTATCTATGTCTTCTGAATTGTAACACGTCTGCTTAATCCCCCTCAATGACAACTAGTGCGTTGTTAAGCTAGTGCTCTTTTCCTGCAGCTTTTCGTCCTTAATCAATCTTGCGACATGTTTGCGAAACATTCAATAGCAGTAGTTGATGCATTTCCTCTAGATTAAGTCCTGAGCATGTCATTTGACTTCGGATACGCAGCAATGTTGCCAATTTTCGCGTGTCAAGTGTTGTGAGCGGTTACCAGGAGAATACGCCACCATTGACGCAAATGCGCCTTGTGACTTTAATTCTTTTCTTAAAGATGGCCGTCTTGATGGAGGTGATATCCCATTTGCTATGACACCACGGAACGAGACTTTGCTGACCAAGATCACGAAACAGGAATTTACAATCTTGGCACAGCATATTTGAAAGTTATTCGCATCAAACTTCGCACACAGAATTTGCGAACAAATTGCCTCTAATACGCGTAAGAAATAGTGTATTTAGTCGCTTGACTCGCTATAACCTTAGGTTAGTGGACTGCTCCCAAACGCCATTGGCGGATGTGCACTATAAGTAGATCCCTATGCCCGCCTTCCAGAGGAAACGACTTGTGAGTTACATTCATCGTTACCGCAGGGAGATTTCTGGGGCATCTCATCGACCAGCGGTTCAGTGTCACCCTCATTACCGCGTCAGAAGTTGCTGCTGATATCACGATGCACTCACCATCGAAAAAACTGAGAAGACGGGCAATCGCCAATGATGAAATGTTTCAGACAATTAATAAGAACCTGTCTTTTTGGCAACAAGAGATAGGTACTTATGTTCGGAGCATCTGAGACTCAAACAGCCGATCCAACTTGCCAAGTGGCTACGCAAGGGAAGCCAGAATCTGTTACCGCCCAAATGTCAAAACAGCGAGACTTGCATGGAGTTGTAAGCAACCAAGGGACGCCCAAAGAAGAAGTGATAGGCAAGGAGATGAAATCCGCGTTGATCTTGAAGGTTTAGAAGAGGGAGAGGTCTAGGGTGCGACGAGAGTCGAGAGATGAGGAGCTCGGTGGAAGGATGGCTGATACAGGAGAAACGCTGGGAGATATACAAAATGATAGGAGCAGGAAGCCGTCGATAATAAGCGATGAGGAATGGCATCTGCTTCCCAAGTATCAAGCTTCAATACGGACAGCACCATGCGTAATGAACAGTTTATAATTGATATGTAGAGATGGCGTGTGAAAGCAATAATATAGCGTAACAATTATCTAAACAAAATTAAAATATCAATGAAAACCTCACAATTCATCAATACTCAATGATTGTGGACCAAAGCTAGGTCAGTCCTCGGGAGATGAGAAATATAATCAGAGGGTAGTGGCGGCCAGGAGATAGAAATGACCGAAAACAAACAGTATTTGTATTTGCTGGCTATGACTGATCTGGGTACAAATCTGAAGCTCATAATAATAATGTCCCTGAGCGATTATTGATTTGAATGAGGTGTAGACGTTAAGATTTGCCGTTTATAAGTTAAGAGGAAACTGTGTAGTCCTGCTACATTGTGATAGCTCAATCATGCGTTAATACAGAGCGCTAGCAATTGTCTTTGAAGCAACAAATCGCCAATATATGCGGAAGTTCAAGATGTTCAAAAGAGCATATACTGTTTCCGAGACTATCTCCCCCCTTGTCGCGCTAAAGTTCAATGGTATTCAGGGGTTACCTACCTACACCGGAACTCAATCCTAGCCGCGGCCCCTGACTGCACGCGACTGGAACCGCGACCAACATGCATAACGACATTGGGAGAGAAGTACCGGTAGGTTAATAATTGACGCCGGTTACACAACCGATCTTAATAAGTCATTCCATGAGCCATTTAACGAGCCGACAAGCCGAAGAGCTGTACGTTTTTTCTTTCAACATCAACATGATAATATTTCCACCAACAGCGACGCTAATCCGATGAGTCAGCCATAAATCGATCATTGCATATCTGGCGGCGAATGGTCTATCAGCCTCAGCGGCAGCTCTCAGGACAGAGCTCAATCTAGAAGAAAATGACTTCGATACTGCTACCGCCGAGCGGTATAAGGGCTTGCTGGAGAAAAAATGGACGGGTATTGTGCGGTTACAGAAGAAGGCACGTGCAACGCCGACATCTCAGAATAGGGCTAGGATTATATATAAGATCACTTGACATCTGACAACGCCTCGTTACAGATAATGGATCTCGAGTCTCGAAACGCGACACTCCAATCAGAGCTCGAGAATGCGACGCCCGCCTCCTTATCCATGCGCAACCAAGACCCATCATCTTGGCTTCCCGAGCAAACACCCCGATATACCCTCGAATCCCACCGGAGCACAATTAACTGCATTGCCTTCCACCCAGTATATTCATCGCTAGCCACTGGCTCAGATGACTACACAATCAAGATCTGGGACTGGGATGCCGGTGATCTGGAAAGGACGGTCAAGGGCCATACCAGAGCGGTCTTGGACGTCGAATACGGTGGGCCCAGGGGCAATATGCTTTTGGCGTCGTGCAGTTCCGATCTAACTATCAAGCTCTGGGATCCGAACAACGAGTACAAGAATATTCGGACGCTGCCGGGTCACGAGCATAGCGTCAGCGCATTGCGGTTTATCCCCAGCTCGGCAAATCTGCTAGTGAGCGCGAGTAGGGATCAGACATTGAAGATATGGGACGTTATCACAGGGTTTTGTCTGAGAACGCTTAGGGGCCATCTCGGTTGGGTTCGAGATGTATGTCCGGCCTTCGACGGCCGGTATCTACTCTCTGCTGGAGACGATATGACGGCGCGGTTATGGGATATCTCATCATCTTCAACCCAGTCGGAGAGTAAGGTAACAATGTCTGGCCACGAACACCATATCGAGTGCTGCGCAATCGCCCCTCCCGCTAGTTATAAATTTATCGCACTAATAGCAGGTCTGAAAAAACCGCCGCCTGTCAGCAGCTCAGCCGAATATTTTGCCACGGGGTCTCGAGACAAGACAATCCGCCTGTGGGACGCGCGGGGGACCTATTTGTTGACACTTGTGGGCCACGACAACTGGATCCGCGCGCTCGTCTTTCACCCCGGCGGCAGGTACCTGGTATCGGTGTCTGATGACAAGACATTGCGGTGCTGGGATCTTAGTCAAGACGGGCGGTGCGTGAAGATCATTAGAGAGCCGCATGAGCGCTTTATTACCTCACTGCAGTGGGCGCCGAGCATCGTCCGGAATTGGGAACATGTAGAGCAACTCACTGCTGGTGGTGCTGTAACAGAGCAGCAGCAGCGGAGTGCGGAAATAAGTGATTCCCCATCAGTGCCTCCTCATAGTTCAACGATAGATAGAACTGCAGGAGGGAAATCCAGTAACGTGCAGATCCGCTGTGTCGTTGCCACGGCCGGTGTAGATTGTAAATTGAGGATTTTCACGAACTGAATGAACATCCGCCGGCTCGCCGGATTACAAAATACTTCCTTCTCATTTACCAACCATTTTCACAATGAGTTCCACACAATTTCGAAAAAAAAAAAGTAAAGAACAATGCATGCATCAGCCGTGAATCGAACACGGGGCCCATCGATGCTAGCGATATGGCAACGATGGATTTTACCTCTAAACCACTGATACCTGGGTCGTTGTTCCAATTGTTCCAATACGGATACAAGGTCGGCCGGTTAGATAACATTATGAACTTAATGCCCGGAGAGGGGGCACCTCGTCTTAGAAGGCCTCGTCAGTCTCGACCGGGCTCGACATCAAACTCCACGTCCGTCCGAATGATATACTTGGCGCCCTTCCTCACACCCGTCCCCTCATGCAACAACGCCCCCTTGGCATCGCCATGAGGAAACAACGCCACCGATCCCATCGTCGGCCGGACTGGATGCGCATTCATGACGCCCTCCCGGATACTCGGGGTGAAGAACGTAGTCTCGCCGCCCTCGAACTCATCGTTCAGATACACCAAGAATGTGAACAGACTCGACTGCTTGCTCCCCTCGGGGGAAGCATCGTAGACGTAGGCCCCCGTCTTGGGATCCACGCCGGATGGCGGCCAGCCCCCGTCGAAGTGGCACCGGTACTCGGCGCCAGGCACGTAGCGATACACCCGGAAGCGGCGGTTGATGCCGCGCGCCCTGCGCCCGCCGAGGGACGGCGGGATGTGAGTGGAAACACGCCCCCAGAGGACGTCGTGGAAGGCTTGGTCCACGACCCAATAGACATTATGCGCGAGGATGCTGGAGGCAGAGCCGTCGTCGCGGAGTGGACAGTCGGGGAGAAAGCCTACGGTTTCCATGGCCGCGACGATGGACATGCATTCCTGGCGGCTCAGCACGTCTTTCACGAGCGATAGCCCGGGCACGGTTGGGTGTTTGTGGAGTGTTGTCTCTGGTCCGACCGTGGCTAGTGGGACGGCATAGTCGTTACTGAGATATAGGACCGCAGGGTGCAGGTTGGGTGGCTTGCGTTCGGGACCGGGTGTTGTCTCGAGGATCTGGAATCTGTCTTTGATATCTTCCGGGCAGCTCGCGAAAATGGTCTTGTCTAATACACCTTGCCGGACAGCAGGTCGCGGCATTTGTGTTTTGTCCGTAATATCCCAGATTGGCTGTAGAGAGAGCGGTCCAGTGAGATCCGCCGGCACTTTTGATACTTCGTCAACCGGGCCAGTGACTCTTAATACCATGTCCATCACCCTGAGCAATTCGAGCTGCGTATCGGTCCGGATATCGGGAGTCTCGCTAGACAGTCCACTAACGACGTCGAGGTCTCGTACCCATCGGCAGAGGGCGCCTAGCTTCGGTGCTTGGTTCCGTATGCGCATCTCGGCGAGGAGAACGATGGCATCGACGTATTTGCCGTCGACAAGGGCCGCTGATACGCGAGAGGTGAGGTTCGTCCCGGCTATTTAACTGTCAGATCAGCTGCTGAAGCCCCTTATTTGAAAGGGCATTGGGCGTGATATTCTTAGTACCAACTGTGTTCATGCCAGTAGTGCATGCTTGCTTAAATCCATACACGGCAGTACGCAGATTTCGACAAGCCTTGGACTTGACGAGAACGGGATGTTGGGCTAGCGAGTCTAACGTCTCGACGGCAATCTCTATCTCTTCCTCGGAGACGACGCTGGCAAGACTTCCCGGATCCAATTGGCCTGCAGTCTTCCTCTTCAGTGAATCGGGCGGCGCATCTGGTGAGGGCGACAGCAACACGGTGGCGCTGACGGCACTCGTCTCGGCATTCTTCTTGCTAGGCAGAATAGACTGCGCATTCCGTTGGCGCTTCCTCTTTGTCGGCATCTTGGACTTGGAATTGAGTAGTTTGTCGTGGCAGGTCAAGGACAACCGACGTTGTCTGCCTCGGTCGCCACAGGAAAGATCTTGATTATCCGGCGGTGGGATGGTGAGACGCCATTCCCATTATGGTAAACTCTGTATCCATGTAAGTGCGGGCCGCGGGCTGGGGTCCGGGTCGGGGCCGGGGCGCCAAGTTTTTGCCCCAGACATTCGATACCCACTTTGTACTCCGTACACGCTTTCTCTCTTTTCTCCCGCTCTCGACAGACATCGTGCTCTTGACCGAGCACATCACCGTCATCATGGCATCAATTCAGAACGCGGCCCGGCTCGCATCGCCCCCGATTGACTGAGTCGTGCTCCAGGCAGAAAGACTAGAAGGTCCCATCTTCCCTATAAGGCCAAGTCTTCGTTAGCTCGTGGTTGTCCTGCTTCAAGCCACGGTGCAATAGCCTGGCGCAGCTGGAATTGGCAATTGTGCGACTAGACTCCAAAAACTCATCCGAAACAAGTGCCTGCTGTTGGATAATTTGACGAAATACCTGTATTTTTAGACTATTGCCACGCTAAGATACGGTAGGATATTACCGATCCCCACCTAATTTATATGGGGCAGGAAAATTCTGCACGGTAGTGTTCTGAGGCCCCAAAAGCCAGTTGTCGTAATAATCTAGAATAATCGAGAATAATTAATTAATTAAGTAAATCTAATATAACTAGTATTTATAACCGGTTTTTTAATAATTAAAAGTTTTATTTATTTAAATAAAGTTATTTTAATTTATTATAACTGATTATAACGAAAAAAACTAGTTTAAATTATTAAAATAATTATATATAATAATATTTATATTATAAATAAATTAAAAAACTTAATCGAAAGTTAAAATATTTAATATTTAAAAAAATATACGAAAAGTAAATCAGTAACTTTAATTATTAAAGTTATTATTATTTAAAATAAAGGAATTCGTATAAGTTTTTTTTTAATTAATATAATCGAATTTAATTATTTCAAGTTTAATTATTACGATTTAAAATAACATTTTATTTAAAAACCTGTTTTTTAATAAGCGAGCGAATTAAACTGTTATAAATAATTAATACAATATTGATTTAAAATTATATAATAAATAAAACTAAGTAAAAAATGCTTTTTATAATTTAAATAAAAAGTTCGATTTAATATTTTAATACTTTTATAAAAAACTTATCCCGGATAAATTATTAAACTTTTATAAAATTAATAATTAAAATATTTCGAGATTTTATTAAATAAGTTACGGATTTATAATTAGTTTTTAATAAGATTATAAAATATAAAAACAATAAATATAAAAACTCCGTTATTATAATAAACGATTTAATAAAATTTTTAAAATTAATTTTTAATAATTAAGTAATTATTTTATAATATTACGTAATTAAGTTCGATTAATTTATTTATTAAATTATAAAACAATATAATTATAAATTATAAAACAATATAATTATAAGTTATAAAACAGTATAATTATAAATTATAAAATAAATAATTCGTTAAATTATAAAATAATAAATTTAAAGATTTAATACTACGGATTAATTAAATTAAAAATCGCGGAATAATTAAACTTATTAATTAAACCGGTTAATTAAACTATTAAATTAATTAAATAAATTAAATTACGCGGTTAAATTAAATTAAACCGGTTAATTAAACTAGTTTATATAATTAAATTAAATTAATTAACCGGATTAATAAAATAAACTATTTAAAAAAAATTGCGTAATTATATTAATTAAAACAATAAAAATAATTATAATTAAATTAATTTACTTTTCGTAATTATAATTAAATTGTTATAACCTAATAAGAGGGGAATGGCCCGTTAGCAGGCCTAGCGCGGGGAGTAGAAGAGTATACCTCGAAAAATGTAATATTGAAGTATGTATCGGTCGGGGTGCATGATTACGTAATAGTTTACTAGCTTACGGTAATCTAAGCTTACTAGCTTACGGTAATCCAGGTTTACTAGCTTACGGTAATCTAAACTTATTAATTTACGGTAATTTAAACTTATTAGTTTATAATAATTTAAATTTATTAACTTATAGTAATCTAAGTTTACTAGTTCGTAATAATTTAAAAAGAAATTAGTACGGAAAAAAATAATCAAAGTTTTTTTATATAAATATTTATTTATTTTTATATTTAATTACTCGTTTTTGTTTTTTAGTTTTTAATTTAAAATTATAATTTAAATTTAAATACGAATATAATTATTAAACTATTTTTAAATATATTTTATTAAATAAATAATAAAAATATTATTAAACTTTTTTTATAAATATTATTAACAATTTTATTATTATTTATAAATTAAAATTCCGATATTATTTTTTATATCCGATATATTAAAATATAAAAAATCTATAATATTTTAAAAATTTTTTAATTAATAAAACTTAATATAATAAACAAATATAAATATAAAAAACTTTAATAATAACGAGATTATTAATAAACTTTTAAAAAAATATATTCCGAAAATTTCCGTTGTTAATAAAATTAAAAAGTTAATATTTTAAAAAATAAAACATTAATAAAATAAAATTATAAAATTAAAAACCCGTAAATAA